TTATGACTTGTTGCAATCAGGCAAAATAAAGTTAGGTACTAATCTTCCAATTCTACAAGAAACATCTTTAGGATGGGTATTAGTCGGTCCTTTAAACATTCACGAACGATATCGAAAAACCGTATGCAACACTTCAAAAATTTCAAACAAAGCTTTGCACGATTCATTACAAAAATTCTGGCTACTTGAAGAGTTCGAACCTAATAATTTTTTATCCAATGATCAAAAATATTGCGAACAGTATTTTAAAGAAACCACGACGCGCAGTAATGATAATAGGTTTGTAGCCAAATACCCATTTAAACAGGACACAGATTTGAAGTTAGGAGACTCAAAATGTAGTGCTGTTAAAAGACTAAAAAATTTAGAAACACGGTTGAACAGAGATAGCAATTTAAAAACGCACTATTTACAATTTATGCGGGAATACGAATCCTTAGGACACATGACCTTTAGTGGATTTTTTGATTCGGACGTTTCTTTGGAAACAAATTCATATTTTATGCCTCACAGTGCCGTGCTGAGAGATAGTGCTGTAACTACAAAATGTCGAGTAGTTTTCGATGCTAGCTCGAAGAGCAGCAACGGAATTTCATTTAATGATTTAATCTTAGTAGGACCAACAATTCAAGCGGATCTTTTTTCTATATTGTTAAGATTAAGATTACGGAAGTATGTTATTAATGCTGACGTAAAAATGATGTATAGGTGCATTTGGATAGATCCAAGCGAACGTAGCTACCAGAAAATATTGTGGCGTGAAAGTACCGACGAAAAAATAAAAATTTACGATTTAAATACTGTCACATACGGCACTTCGAGTGCACCATGGCAGGCCACGCGTTGCTTACACGAACTAGCGGATTTATTTGAAAATAAGTATCCTAGAACTTCAAAAGTTATTAAAACTTGTTTTTACATGGATGATCTCCTCACCAGTGTTGATTCGGAATCGGAAGCTTTAGATATTTATCACGAAGTATCAGAAATTTTAAACGACGCAAAGTTAGTCTCAAAAATTAAAAACACATTAAATATTGACATTTATAGAACACTTTATTTCACTGATTCAACGATCGTTCTTTCGTGGCTAAAAATTGAACCCTCAAAACTAAAAACTTTCGTTGCCAATCGAGTTTCAAAAATTTTGGAAATCTCAAATTTTAATAAATGGAGACACGTACGATCTAAAGAAAACTCTGCAGATATTATAAGTCGAGGGGTAAATCCAACTGAATTGTTAAACAATAGTATGTGGTTTAACGGGCCACAATTTCTAAAAGACGACACCTACCTAAGCTCGAAAATCACGGACTATTCTTATAAACTTGATTTAGAGAAACTTCCGGAAATGAAAAATGTTAGTCTCGTTGTAAATACTGTAGAAAAACCGACACTCGAAATTGAAAATGAAAATTTTGATTTATTTGACAAATATTCAAAACTCGATAAACTCAAAAGAATTATAGGGTACATTGTAAGATTCAAAAATAGAACATTAAATAAGATAATAAAATCTGGAGAAAGTTTAAGTGTTTCAGAGTTAAATGAGGCTAATTTGATTTTAATTAGAGTCGCTCAAAATGAGGCATTTAAACAAGAAATATCAGATCTTAATAAAGGTAAACAAATAAGTAGTAGTAGTCCTATTTTAAGTCTTCATCCTTTTCTCGATCAAAGCAAAGTTTTAAGAGTTGGTGGCAGACTGACTCACGCAGTACATTTAAATTATGACCAGCAACACCCTGTAATTTTGCCATATAAAAGTCGTATCACGGAACTGATAGTTTTAGATGAGCATTTGTACAATATTCACGCGGGATGTCAAACATTACTCTCCATCATAAGACTAAAATATTGGCCTATCAAGGGTAAGAATATAGTTAAGAAAGTAATTAAATCATGCGTCAGATGTACTAGAGCCAACCCTAAACCCGGTAATTTTTTAATGGGAGATCTACCTCTTAATCGTGTCACGCCTAACCGACCTTTCAGTAGCGTAGGTGTAGATTATGCCGGACCTATTTATGTTAAAGAAAACACGTCTCGTCGTAGTAGGCTCGTAAAAACATATGTGTGCGTATTTGTATGTTTTGCAACTCGAGCTATTCATATCGAGTTGGCTTGCGATTTATCGACAGATAGCTTTCTTCATTGTTTAAAACGATTCTGTGCTCGTCGAGGAAAACCTATCAATATTTACTCAGATAACGGGTTAAATTTCGTTGGCAGCAACAATTATTTTCTTGAGCTTCAAGAATTAATAAATAGTCCATCACACGAAAAAAGCGTTAAAAATTTCTTAGCACCCGATAAAATTAACTGGAGCTTCATTCCCGCTCGTTCAGCTCATATGGGCGGCCTGTGGGAAGCAGCAGTAAAGTCCCTGAAGTTTCACTTGAAGCGAGGCTTGGGAAACGCAAATTTAACCTATGAAGAAACGTATACATTGTTAGTACAGATCGAGGCTGTACTAAACTCTCGTCCTCTCACCCCATTGTCCAATGACTTCAACGATTTTCAACCCCTTTGTCCTTCTCACTTCCTCATCGGGAGCTCTCTCTTACTACCACCTGATGAAGACGTCAGAGACATAAAAATGAACCGTTTGACCCGATACCAACGATTAAAGCAAATATTCCAGCATTTCTGGGACCGATGGTCTTCGGAATATCTGTCCACTCTACAAAATCGATCCAAATGGAAAAAAGAGACAGTCGATGAAATAAAAATCGGATCGATGGTTGTCCTAGTAGAGGACAACTTGCCTCCCCTCAAGTGGTCAATGGCACGTGTGGTGCAGCTTCACCCTGGTTCCGATCACATTACTAGGGTAGTGTCAGTTCGCCTACCAAGCGGAGCAGTTACAAAAAGATCGTTGAAAAAGATATGCCTTTTACCAACAGAATAAAGACTTAAACTATTTAACTGTCAGCAGTGTTGCAAACATTTCAAGTGTGTCAAGTGTTAAACTTTCATTTCGAAAACTTAAAACTTTTCAACGGGGGCGATATGTTTGGACATTCAAATCTATTTGAACATTCAAATCAAATTTCTTATATCAGACTGTTATATTGAACAAAAGTGTAGCAACATTCTTAAACATGGCTACGCCGTAATAAACCTAGCAACTCAAAAGGATCTGGCAACGCGCAAGAACAGCTGCAGGAAGAACGGCAAGCGACCAATAGCATGGCTCAGCGCGACCAATAGGATCGCTCGGCGCGACCAATAAGAAGAGACGGATTCGAGAGCATGTCACGACATCACGTTGTTATTGTTTTGACTAATAATCAATTAAAAATTCGTTTTGTACCGCAATAAATGGTTAATCAATTAAAGTATTAATTCTCGTTAATGTGTTTGGGTTCCCTTTGACCTATAATAAAGGGTGGTCCTTCGAAAGTCCTCAACAGAGGATCAGCTTGTGCTTCCAGTCTTCTTTGCATGGCAGTCTAGACAGAGCGTCAGCATTTTTATGCAGGTTTCCAGGGATCTGTTCGAATTAGAAACTTACGGCCGTAGAGATACTCATGGAAATGGTCGACTGCTTTTAATATGGCAAGCAACTCTGTTCTGGTGACACAGTAATTTCGTTCCGGCTTTGATAGGGTTCTGCTGTAGTACTCTACGACATGCTCTTGTGGATTTTGGATTTGTGAAAGGACAGCTCAAATACTGGTGTTGCTTGCATTTCTGATCGGGATAGGACAATACTGGGCTCGTACATAATGCTCCTTTCAATTTTCTGAAAGCGGAATCGCATTCTTAAGTCCAATTGAATGTTGATTTTTCTTCCGTTAATCGATGAAGCGGAACAGCTATATTGGCGAAACCTTCCATACAAATCTTCGATAATAAGGACATTATCCCAGAAAACTTCTTAGTTCATGTTTGTTGCGTGGCTTTGGCCAATCCCTGATAGCTTATATCTTTCCTTCCATAACTTGTATGTCATCTTCAGATACCACGTGACCTAAGAATTCCACTTTCTTTTGAAATAGAAAACACCTATTTGCGGTGTCAGGCAGTTATTCAGGTCCTCCTCTAGGACCAACGCCTTACTAAATAAGAATAGTTAATTGTTAATTATTGTATGAACCTTTTAGGTGCTATTGTTCGTCGATTTTTAACTGATACTTTCCGTATGAGGAGCGAGGGGGTGTTTCATATGGCAAAAACAGGTGTGACGTCAGGTAACCATTGGGGTTCTAATGTAGGGAGCCACCAGCTCACATTCCGTCCGAGTATAAGATAAAAATCGACGGACAATAAATAAGGTCTTTAAAAAATTGCTGAACGGTTATTATAAAACCTTTTAAACTGTAAGACTTAACAAAACCGTTAAAAATTTCAGATAAAATCGATTTTTTTTTTAAATTTTGATTCCATAAACTCCCATTTGTACGCCGCTGGTGTTGACCATTTTTTTTACAAGTCATTTCTTGATGCAATTTAGACGGGATCTATTATTATTCAATTGAAAAAAAGCTTATTTTAAGATAAAGACATAATTCCATAAAATGGCCATAGCTCTATAGAAACGTAATGTATCCAAAAAATGGCAAAAATGTCCCGAGGTATTGACCTAGTGATCCACGATCCATCATCAGAAAGAACTTTCCTATATTCTTCGCCAAAAAATGGAAATTTTTCGCCGCCTTAGCTTACATTCACACCCTTTTCAATGAGAAACAATTTTTAAAAAAATATCCGTCGACACTGACGCATAGACCAAGGATGGCGCTTCGTAACACTGGCTGGAAATCCAACATCGGCAAAGAAATGTCGAATAGCAATTCAAAATTTGGCAATTTTTCGGGTGTCCCACTTCATCTGCCGTGTAATTTGGTTTAGGATATAAGGCGATTTCTGGAGAATTGTAAAATAAAAATAATAAAATAATGAACTTTGACGCAAAATTCCTTTTTCTTTGGATTCTATATTTTGAAAAAACCACACCTGTTTGTAATATTTTCTATTGTTGCCATAATTTCCAGACAGTCAACTTGAAGATTGGCGATGGTGAAATACAAGGATTAGTCAATACCACAACAAGAGATGGAACTACTTATTATAATTTCAGAGGAATTCCTTATGCAAAACCTCCATTACAGAGTTTACGCTTTACTGTAAGTTAATATATTATTTGCTGTCCAGAACAGTAGATACTTAACTGGAACATTTTCAGAGCCCGGTGAAAAATTCTGCCTGGAACGGTACCTATGACGCTACCCAGGATAGATCTCAATGTATCCAGAACGACGGTTTAGTAAGCGATACTATTGTGGGAAATGAAGATTGTTTATATATCAACGTGTATACTCCCGATGTAAGCAAAATAACAAACCTCCTGAAAATTGTTTTTCTATTTTTTTACACTCACTGAATGGGTATCTACATTGATATTGATAATCAGGTTATTTACCCTCACCGATATCCTTCATTCAAAAAAATAAATAAATTTTCTTATTTATTTATAGTTTTTTTAATACCTATTTGGAAGTAGCAGTCGTTTTAGTGATTAGTGATTGGTAATTTTTTGTTTCATCTGATACATGAGTTACATACGGCTCTACATTGTATATTTTATTTAATCAGCATATTATTTTTCATTAGCTTGCATTCTGTATTCTCTTTTTGTAGCTTCTACTTGCCGAGCGTCGTCAGTCAGAGCTTTGCATTCACTTTCGACGCTTCGAATTTTAATAAATTTTAAACGTAAAAATATTGTAATAGTTTTAAGTGAAATAAATTTGTTTTTAAAAAATCGTACATCGCGTACTGATTTGTAACTGGCGCAGTCGGTAGGATAGTCAGGAATCAATACATCGAGTATCGATTTATCGTGAAACGGTCAACTGACTATCCGAAAGAACTTACGGTTCGGGATTTTGATTGAACATCAGAAACTTTCGTGTGCGTGTGCGTAAAGCAATTAATTGGGGATTGTTTCGCGACGGCATTTTGAGTATTGATAACAAACTCTATCAATTCTGCGAGGACTTAGTGCTTTTGGACTTGGATTACAAAATTGCCACCAGAGGACTGAGGCCTTATAGTACCACCTAGACATAAGAAGAAAACTCTATGGCACGAAAATTGATAGCATATTTGTAAATGTCTGATTTGGACGATTTAATTAACTCTTTTGAAAGTATTGAGATAAACGATAATAGCTCTGACTCCGCTTCAAATACAGAAGTGTTAACTGATCAATCTAATAATCAATTAGAAACTGAAGGTAATATTGATCAATTAGAAAGTGAAAATAATATTTTACCTATTGATAGCTCAAACTTAGATTTAACTGCTTTTGCACAAACTATAACGCTTTTGCGAAGTCAACAAAATTTAAACTTTTCTCCTTTAAATATTGCTACAGTAAATTTACCAGTAACTATGGCTCAATTTAAACCCGAATATTTAAGTTGTGTCCCAAAATTCGAGGGAAACCCTTGCGAGCTAAACAGATATTTAGCGACTTGCAAATCTCTCATAGATAATTTTTATGATACTGTAAATGTAAATTGTTTCCAAAATATATTTTTAATAAACTCTCTTATAGGTAAACTTTCTGGCAATGCTAGATTAGTGGTTAATGTTCAGAATGTCTCCACCTGGGACGGTCTAAAAAATACATTGACTAGACATTTCGCGGACAGACGCGACGAGTCTTGTTTGAATAGAGACCTTGTTTTAACCAAACAAAATGCTAACGAGACCCCTCAATCTTACTATGATAGAATTCTCGAATTACTTAATTTACTCTGCAGTTACGTAGATGCTCACGACGATGTGGCTACTGCCCAAATAAAACGAAATTTGTATACAGAACTTGCTTTAAAAACATTCTTGGCCGGTTTAAGAGAACCTTTAGGCAACACAATTCGTTGTATGTCACCAAAAGATTTAGCTGATGCCATACAACTTGTTATTCGAGAGAGTAACACAAAATATTTCCAAAATCAACCCAATCACAATAATAGCAATGCAAATCATACAAAACCAAAACCTCAACAACATCAATTTCGATTTAATGGTCCAACCAGAAATTTTGGTTATAATAACTATACACCAAATCAGTTTAAGCAGCCCTTTCCGTCACAACCTATCAATATTAGACCTAATGCAAACATCCGCCCACAAAAATTCTTTTCTAACTCCCAAGTTTTTGGTAAACCAAAACCAACAAACGTATTTAGACAAAATCCTGGAAAAATCTTGCCAAAGCCCACACCAATGTCAGGTGTAAGTTTCCAAAACACCCAAAATTTCACACCAGTGGCTCAAGCATCAAATTTCCAGCAACCACAACAACAGTACCAGCAACAGCCCAAATATGCATTTGAAGAATTATTTACTACAGAACTAGATCCAACTTCTGAAGAATATCAATACAGTTATTCAAACGTCATCAATCAAACGTACCCCGAAAATAATGCAAATTATGATGAACAGCAGATCTATAACCCCGAAAATTCTTATTATTATTATGCTGACCCAGCACAGATAAATTATACAAATGAAACTCAAGAAGAACCGACCACATCAAATCAGGCTGTGGAATCAAATTTTCAGGAATCAGCCGAAGACAATCAGAATATTTGACGGAATCGCCCCCAGTGATTTCATTAAATTTAAACAACACCAGTGAACTCTCATACATAGTGTTTCCTGAATACAACGTCAAAATTTTAATTGATTCAGGTTCCACGAAATCTTTTATTGACCCAAATATAGCATTTAAATTATTTCCGAATTTCGTTATTAACGATCCTTTCATCGTTAGTACGGTATTCCAGAAATCAGCCCATAAATATAGTGCTAACATACCAGCACCTAAAATATTTAATTTACCCAAAAAAGGAAAACTCAAATTTTACCTATTCAAATTCCATAACATTTTTGATGGTTTGATAGGCCTTGACAATTTAAAATTATTACAAGCAAATGTTGATTTTAATAGTGGTTACCTTATTACGCCCTATGCAAAGATCAAATTAAAATATCAACAAACACAAAACGAACTTAATTGCACTACTGTTGAAGCGAGAACAGAAAAAGTAATTAAAATCAAAACATCTATAAAAAATGGCGAAATTATTGTTCCCTATATGAAATTACACAATATTGAAATACCCGAATCACTAACAATCGCAAAAGATGGCTATGCAATAACAACAATCTTAAATAACTCTTGCGAGCCAATTACTTTAGATTTTTCAGAACAAATAGAAGTAGACCCTTTTGAAAGAAATAATATCGAGATGATAGATTTAAATAATTTTGACGAATCACCCAAACAAAGACTAGATTTATCAAAAATTCGTGTTGATCATCTTAATGATGAAGAAAAATACAAAACTTTGGAACTGTGTGAAGAATTTTCAGATATTTTCTATCAAGAAAATACACCTCTATCTTTCACTAGTAACTTGAAACATCATATACAAACGACAGATGAGACTCCAATTTATACTAAAACTTACAGATACCCGTTCATCCATCGCCAAGAAGTAAGAAATCAAATAGAAAAAATGTTAGATCAAAAAATTATAAGACCTTCAAATTCTCCCTGGTCCTCACCAATTTGGGTGGTACCAAAAAAATTAGATGCTACAGGAAAGCAAAAATGGCGTGTAGTCGTGGACTACAGAAAACTGAACGAAAAGACAATCGATAACAAATACCCGCTACCAAATATCACGGATCTTTTAGACAAATTAGGTAGATGCCAGTATTTTACAACATTAGACCTTGCATCAGGCTTTCACCAGATTGAAATGAATGAAGCCGACATACAAAAAACGGCCTTCAACACTGAAAATGGGCACTACGAGTACCTTAGGATGCCCTTCGGTCTGAAGAATGCGCCTGCTACCTTTCAAAGCATAATGGATTCAATTTTAAGGGGTATTCAAAATGAAAAATGTTTGGTATACCTAGATGATATCATTATTTTCTCGACATCCTTACAGGAACATCTAAATAACTTGAGAAATGTTTTCCAACGGCTACGTGACTCTAATTTCAAGATCCAGCTTGATAAAAGCGAATTTTTGCGTCGCGAAGTCGCATACCTGGGTCATATTGTGACGCCAGAGGGAGTCAAACCAAACCCCGATAAAATTAAAGCAATTAAGCAGTATCCGATACCGAAGACTACAAAGCAAATTAAAGGATTCCTAGGACTGTTAGGCTACTACCGGAGATTTATTAACAATTTTGCAAAAGTTACGAAACCTCTCACCAAATGTTTGAAGAAAGGCGCTAAAATCAATCATGACGAAGAATTTATTAACTGTTTCAAAATGTGCAAAAATTTACTAACAAATGAACCCATACTCCAGTATCCTGACTTTTCAAAACCTTTTAATTTGACAACAGACGCGAGTAACTTGGCCTTAGGAGCAGTACTTTCCCAAGGGCCAATTGGACAAGATTTACCGATCGCCTATGCCTCACGCACGCTCAACGACTCTGAGTGCAACTATTCTACGATAGAAAAGGAATGTTTGTGTCTTGTTTGGGCAACCAAATATTTCCGCCCTTATCTCTATGGCAGAAAATTTAACATCATTACAGACCACAAACCGCTTCAATGGCTTTTTTCAGTTAAAGAACCAACTTCAAAATTACTTCGCTGGAGAATAAGACTAGAAGAATTTAACTATCAAATTATTTACAAGAAAGGAAAACTAAACACAAATGCGGACGCCCTATCGAGAATAGAAATTCATACTAAAGAAACAACAGAAAATATTTTTGACCTGCAAAAATATGTAGAAGACGTAACTAAAAATTTAGAGGACAACAACCACCAAAATAATGACGAAATTCCTAGCACAAGTCACGAAAATATGGATCAAATATCAGTTGTAGCACAACCGGACAATGACCCACCAGAAATCGCGCAAGATGCCGATGATGCAACTATCCATACAAACGCCGACCAAAACCCTGTAGTAGGAGTACCTATTATTGAAACAGCTGTCAATTATGGTTCTAATCAAATAATATTGCAGCAGGTACACCACTCACCAGCAAGAGCGAAAATAATTGTACTATTTAACAAGAAACGTAGAATAATAGTACAACTATCGCAGGAAAATTTCGAGGAAGACATCATGAAATTTATCAAAGAATTAATAGTGCCAAATAAACCATACCACCTGTACTTTGAAAATCCAGAGGCTTATGAACCATTTTGCCGAGTCATCAAGAACAATTTTAAATGGCCCTCCTTACAATTTAAAAGATGTACTTCAAAACTACTCGACGGTACCAACAAAAATGATATTAAAGAAATCATACAAAATTACCACGAAA